GCGCTACGACTAAAAAGTCGTTGAAAAACCAAAGACACGACGCAAGCCCATAGAAAAATTCGTGAGGTCCGTTGGTTCGTTCCGTGGCTTAGTTGGTATAGCGTATGGAACAGTATGCAAGTCGTGAGGTCCGTTGGTTCGTTCCGTGTCCGTTGGTTCGTTCCGTGGCTTAGTTGGTATAGCGTATGGCACAGTATGCAAGAAGACGTCGGTTCGAATCCGACCGAATCGAAGGAATTTTCCTGAGTGTTCGATCTTTGTATTAATAATTTATTTCGAAGTAAAGTTAGCATTTTTTTTTATCGGAAAATTTTTAGGAACCCTTTTTTCACACCATATAGTGATCAGTGTATATCCAGAATTTTACTACATATTTTTTCAAAGTGATTGCTTCAACACTTCCACTGTTATCAACTAAATCCATTTGAGGTTGTATCGAGTTTTAATAAAGCACAAAAAAGTTATCGCATATTTCGTTCGTGAAATCTTTAAACGTCTCTATTGAAAAATTGTAATTTTGCATTGTGCGAATTCCAAACTTACATGATAGAATCCACTTGGTACCGGTATAGGCATACGATATGCTTGCGATGCCGTCAGTCCCATAAGTCCGCTGGAGTATCCGTGGTACGAGCTTTGTAACGAAATGATGTCATTATTTCCTGTGTACACTTTAGCCAGTAGTGTTGCTAAATCGTTGGCCTCTGTGCCGCTGTTTACTAAGTATATTACCTGACAACACAATATGTAATGATCATTGACTTACAAATAAATGGACGACGGGTCTAATACAAAAACCACGAAAAAAATGTCCCAAGTCAACCTATGCGAAATTTAAATTGTAATGTCATCGCAGTATCGCGCTGTCAGTAGAACAAATGAAGACTAAAGCGGAGTGTCGCGCTCTGTATACGATTTTAGCGCCTTACAAGTGCGGACACTTTTTAGCGCGGACCCGACGTCCATATAATTGTAAGTCAATGGTAATGATAAAGAATCTTAAAATACGAAATATGGAACGTTCATGAAGACTGCCTTCATAAAATAATATAACGCCTACATTTTATAAAGAGTAATTGTTTTAATGGCTTATTTTGCTGTACCTAAATTGTAAGGCGTTCTTTACTTATTTAATATACTGTAATTCGATATTTAATTACGATAATTCGCCTGTGTTAAATCTCGTACATGGAACAACAAATATAACAGATAGAGTACCTTCAAATCCCCAGGAAACTTTGAGGCTAATTTGTCAACATATTCGTAAATCTTCGGTTGACGGTAAATACTGGTTGTGTGCCAAAGTTTGCCGATTTGATCTTGCAAGGCTCCCACTACCTTTCTACGAAACGTACAAATTAAAAATCAATTAAAGTAGAATTTAAAACAAATCGACACCGCCAATGAACACTACGTCAACTTTATTTTTTGGTCATTTTCTGTTGTTTCTGTAAAATCTGTAAACTATATTTATTTACTAATATTATACTTCCCCAATTTTGTCAAAAAAAAAAATATAAAACAATATTTGAAAAAATGCAATAAATGTTTTTTGTAAAAAATAAAGAAAAAAATGAAAACAGAACAGGTCCAAAAATTACGTTGGCGTAATGTTCATTGGAGGTATCGAAATGGTACATACTATTTGCCATCTCCATGGGTAGATAGGAATGATATATATTTATATACATATATAAAAATGCTGTACATCTGATGAAATATTTAGTGCCGGTAGAGCTCTACCGGTATTTTGTGAAAGAGTTCGTCTTGGATTCCACTTCTACGCTGTCGATATTCCAAAGATTCGCACAAAGCGTTACGCCTCCACATTTATTTCGCTGTTTGCACACTTGTTCCGTAAACGTTATAACTTGGACCTTTCCAAGGCGAGAGTGAATAGGCATTATTTATGTGTGCATGCTACATCGTCGACCTCATCACCACTTTCCATCAGGTGATACATTATGATGGCCTCAGTGGTCGAGTGGCTTGCACACCGGTTTTCATGGTATCGCCATCTCTGAGGTCCCGGGTTCGGTCCCTGGCCGGGTCAGTGTAGAACTAACTTTTTATATTGTCTTGGGTGTTTGTGGTACCGTCGTTGTTTTTGATTTCCATAACACAAGTGCTTTAGCTACTTACTTTGGAATCAGAGCAACGTATGTGGTGTTGTCTAATATTTATTTATTTATTTTCATTTTTTAATAAAAAAGTCTATACTCCTTATAGACTTTTTTTTTCGTTTCGTTTTCGATTCGTTACTATTGAATATATCCACTGCTATTACAATAGTGTACAACTCAAAATATGTGAAATTCAAGATTAAAAGAAAAGAAAATTTTTAGATTTCTAGAGATTTAGAGAATCAAATATTAAGAAAATTTGATTCTCTACACGTCAATGAAACCGTCGTTATAATATTATAAAAAAAACAACTGAAAGATATCTACTTAACTCAAAATGAGACACGCTTTATGTGGGCTATTTCTGGCCAAAATAGTCCTTATTAAAAAAAATGAAATTATTTTTTCTCTTTTATTTTTAAATATGTTTATTTGGCTAGTAGGTAGTAGTATCTTTCACGGGAAGCGAGTAATTAGTTTTTCGTCGATTCTGAGAAAGTACACTTTTGGAGTTAATACACTGTTGTATTTACAGTGCGATATGTAGATACCGTCGTTATAGTCAACAACTTACGGATGGCAATGTCCCACGGAAACTGTGACAATTCCTCCAAAAAGATCCAAATATCTCTTGCCCTCGTGATCAAATAACCATTGCATGTGACCTTGGTTAATAAGTAGAGGTTTCTTATATAAATGTTTCACAACTGGAGGAAAATTAACAGATTTTATCTTATCCGTCGCTTGATAACTAGGCCCCTGGAAAAAAATTTGAGTATTTGCCTTGAGATTCTGCAGTTTTGACAAGGTTATTACTTTTTTCGCTGCCACGTCGATATTCAGTGTACAGGTAAGTACAAAATCGGTCGACGTTAAGTTTAAAATTGATCTGTTACTAATGTTCCTTATCATAACTAACGTGTGAACTTAGACCACCCCGTGAACGAAGCTAAGCTAAGTTAACTTAGCTCACGTAGCTTGGGCATCTTTTTATACTTCAGTTCACACAGCGGACTAAGCTAACAGAGCTAACTAAATTAACCCAATGATCCCGTTAGATATGCAAAATATGTTACCTTTTCTTCGGCCCGTCACCCCCGCACGTATTCTACGTCGCCTTCGGAAGGCGAAGTAGTCGACCCGGTGTAAATGCGCCATCAGAGAGCGTTTGCTTACAACAAAACTTACCTCATATTTACGAGGTATGAAATTACAGGCGGGTAATTTAAGTGCAGTGCTGTAGCGCCTGATGTTCGGTTTGAGGCAATTATTTAAAACTGAAATAGATTTATTAATTAGTTAGGCGTCTGTCTTATGCATGTTACATGCTCCTTCAGATAATGTTTCGAGTTTAGAGCTAATCTAATCTCGCGTTGCACTCACGGTGCCTGGCGAGAGTCGTCGTACGCACTTGATAAAAAGTTGACTTGTTTATTCAGAATGCTGACTACTTCGCTTTTTTTATAAGATCTACTGACGGGACGAACAAGTCGTGTGGCTGATGGTAAGTTGCACGCCTGTCCATAATAGTTGCAGGACCACTCAGACCTTTACATCGCAAAGATCTGAGGGGCACTGCCACTGCACCTATCACCCTGGGAGATAAATTGACAAGTCCCATGTGCCTGTAATTTCGTCTTGTCGAAGGCCACGTACTCAGTTACTTCGTTCGACTTCGGCTGCAAACTACTGTCGTCAGACGACTCATTATTTACACCGGGTAGCTTGCCGCCTTCGGCAGAGGTCGCCTGATGACTTATATGACACATAATATAACTCATTAGAATTCAATATGGATTGCCAATATACCTTCAAATTATATGTGGATATATACTATCAAACAACACAGGTTCATAAACTCGTAATTAACCACACAAAAAGGTCCAAATTTAAGCTAGATTTTTATACAACAGAACACTTCGTCGAACGGTTGCCGTGCCGGACTGCCACGCAGAGGTCCCAGGTTCGATTCCCGGGCCGGGAGAAATATTTGTATGGCCTACATTTATTTATCTCGTGAGCTTGGGTGTACTTTGTGGTTGTATATGTGTGTGTCCAGGGCACCCGCGACACAGGGTTTCTCTAGTGCGGAGCTATGTTGAGTGTGTGCGTTATTATTATTCCTTTCAATAAATAGTGAAAATTTGTAGGAAAAAGAATGGATTTCTTATTCAAAAGTTCAAAAGCATTCCACAATAATGGGCAAGGTATTACATTACGAATCACTACATCATCGACATTTCAGGTATAGTAAAGTGTTATAGAAGTTTTCAATCAGAAATATTATAATATTTTTTTAACAATAAGTAAATCTTTTTTTTTAATATTTTATCATTTGTTTTGTTTTCTAATAGATCAGGATATTTTTTACAAATTTTTGTGGAGATTACGTACGAGCTAGAACACTATATAGTTATCTAGATCTCGGTAGAATTATTCTAAAATCTGCCTTATTATTTCAACGAAGATCAAACCACGAAAAGTCTAACACACGCGTCACGTGAAACTTTTAAAAACTACAATAACATAACAACCAATTCACCTTTCGCCATTATTCGAAAACCAAATTAACAGAATGACGTGCGGAACAAGACTGAGGTGTTATTTACGTTAGAAACAGTACATTGAATATGTAATGGTTGACCTATGATAATCTTACAATTTTTTTTTACATACGTGAATCTATTGTTTTCCTGTGGGTGCACTCGAAAGCATAGCATAAAGTACGTATTTTTGGGAACAGAATTAGATAATATTTATTATATATATACTTAAGATCTTTGGCTTTTGCGTTTTTTTCGGATCTATATCTCGTGGCCATGTGACCTGTTAAAAATGAATTTTATTACAACAATGGTATGTTGATGCATTTTGTTATATATTATTTTAGAGTTTTAAATGACAATTTTTATGTTTTAATTAATTAACTAACTAACTGCCTCTGTGTCCAAACGTGTACAGGGCGTTCCTATGAGTGGGCGCGTTATTTATTTATTTTAATTGATTGTATTTAATGAAATTGTAGTAATGATGTATTTCAGTTATTTTAACTTTTATAGTATTTTGACTTACCAAATGTGCTTTTTTTTTGTAACAAGGCTAATAAATAAATTGAAAAAAGAAATGCGATTTATATAGCGAGTTTTGCGGTTTTGTTATTTATGTTATAAAATAACACGTATAGCTGTAGGTATATATATAAAATTTAAAGTTTTATTTAGTTATATATTTTGTAGGTATGAATTTAGTTTTGGTGCTTACATATATAGCAACTGTATTAATTTTTAATTCTGCGTTATCTTGCTTAATACGGCTCCAGTATCCAGCCGCCAATGCCTACTAAACGAAGCCTGAAAAACGCCTTTTAATTTTTTCCCAATACAGTTTGAAGTTTACCAGTTCCCTATGTATTGCTTTGAATAATCTTTTTATAAAAAAGGCTTTTTAATATAGATTTAGTGGATCTTTCAGCAGTGACAACAGTTTGCACTTATTTACACGCAATGTGTTGTTGTTGTTGCAAAACGCATTCGTGGGCCCATAACCTCCTCACTAAATTAACGCTATTTTAAAAACTGTGCAAAATATATACAGTTACTTTTTTTTAATATTCTGTTAAATTGGATTACAAAATATTATCACCGCCGCAAATGTATTATTTCTCTATCTATGGTAGTATCAGCTAATAAAATAAACAAAAATATCGTCGCATAATAATAACATTAGTTTTTTTTTTATCGTGTGATATTTTTATTTTTAGATAAAACTCTTATCTTTTTTAAACATTGACCTTGTTTCATGTTCGCATGTGTTACTTCAATATATAGGTATTTCGTGCTATTTATTCTGCTGGAGTTTATTCTTGTACTTACTTACTTATTTGACGGCCTGGGTAGCTCCACAATGCGAACCGCTAAGTTCGCATTGTGGACACTAGACGAAAAGTTCTTGGGTTGAATTCCCAGCAGGGCCAACTTGGGCTGTTTCCCAACTCCTCTAAATTGATCCGGTCTGCTAGTTTTGGGTAATGCCCCGAAGTTAATGCCGTTACAGTTAATTGTGTAGACTTGTCGGGCACAATTATTATTATATTTTGAAATATCCCATGATAACTGGAGTAAGAAGTGCTCCTTGTGTAAAAGTTCGTCCAGTGAACCACTACCACCGTGTCTGTTTCTGCTGCCAAGCGGTAATGTAATTATTATTGCGTTCCGGTTTTGAAGGGTATAGTGAATCTACAGGCCATGGGACTTGTCGACTTTATATCTCAAGGTGACGGGCGCAGTGGCAGTGCCCCACAGGTCTTTGCGATTTAAAACTCTGACTGGCACTACAACTGTCGTTCACCAGGCGCTCGACTTTATTCGTCTTGTTACTTGATATCGTAGAAATATGTTAATTTTAATCATTTCGTCAAATGTGTCAGCTTTTGTCAGTCTGTAACCATATCAGGGAATAAATAAATTATTTACAAGGAGAAAACATACAAATCTAGAAGTAGTTGTATTTTATATACACGACCATTGTTGTCTAAAGAGGTTGTTAGAGAAAGTCAACGGAATTTTTATTATTTTTTAATCAGCTGTTCGCGGTGCAAGTTGATCTTGAGCACTGAAGGCCCGCCCGCTCGTGTAGGCCCTTTTGGCGCCCTTCAATTTGCCTCGCTTAGCGTGTGCGGACTAGGTTTCTATGCGTTATTATTCTAAGGTTCTAAGGTAGATATAGATCTTTAGAGGGAGTGTAGTTTTCTCATAGAGGATGGAAAAGAGTTTTTTCTCCTTTATTTTTTTCCATCCTCTATGAGTTTTCTATTCTATAAGACGAACGATGAGAGCGAAGGAAGATTAGACAAAGAGAAATTGAATCCTAAGTTCACAACATTACAATTAATTATAAAAACTTATTATTAATAGTTCAATGATATGTCCCGTTTAAATATCATTGGAATAATTGACCTTAACATTTCCGTGGATCTTACGGTCTATTATTCGTGCAAAGCTATGGTTGCCAACGCATCATACAAGCGACATTCCCTGCTTCACAGTACTGCATCAGTGGATATACCTATAATGTAAAACCATGTCAGTTCAGTCGGTAGAGTAATGTAGAAAGGAATTAGAGATGAAAGTTTAATGTTTCTCGAACTTTAATAGGTTGTTTAATTAGAAAACTGACCCATTTCCATAAGCTTTTTCGTTTTGCAGTGGCACAAATACACATCGCGAAAAGCCAGAAACAAAAAAAATATATATAATAGAGCTGCCACAAGGTATCACGTAATTTCTCGACTAAATCGGTTATAAATTAACTATTACTTTAATTCATATTGAAATAATGGTTTGTTTAGACGCTATTCGTCATTTAATTTTTGGAATACCAAGTTAAAGTTATCTTTGAGTACAAAGTAGATTTATCATTTAAGCGGTTTTCAATTTACTGATATTCGTAAGTCCACGTCACTAGTGACACCACGTTCCACGTCAATCGAGTTGGATCTAAAATTGGCATTTTGCCTTAAGTTTTTCGTACGGCGTTGAGCTGTGTACCACAAGTGAATGGCCTTTACTCTCCTCTGATACTCACAGTAAAGTGTAGTGATAAATAAAATATCAATATGAAATTAATATATTTCACTTTTCTTGTACTCCCAGTTGCGTTACTATGCTTCCAAAGTGGTAAGTGTTTTTAGAAATAATGTGTTTTTAGCAATTTTCTGTCGGTTTTCGTACGTGGCATAGCAATTTTGTGTTTTGTAAGTGAAAGTTGCAGTAGGTAACATATTTCGGTTCATGTTTATTTAATTTTATTAATTCTTTTAAATTTTCTTTTCCATTTATGTAATAATTAATTTAAAATTTCCTCCTTACATTGTAACCTACATATTGTCCTACAGTTGAATATATTTTGATGAACAATTGTATTTTTCACAATTGTCTCTGGTGTCTTGTGTCTCTGTAAAATAGAATTCAAATGGTAAAACCTACACTATAGTCATAACATCGACCCCTCCTGTGTAAAGTATCATATGTGGAAATTGCCAAATTTACACCATTTTACAGTTTTGAATTCACTGAAATGAGCACATGATGTGACTATAGCATTTCTCAGTTTTATTCGGCAAAAGCTCGTTTCTCACAAAGAGTATTATAAAATCCTAGATATCGGTTAGATGAACAACCACAATTTATTTTATTATTTTATACTGTCAACCGACCTGCCCAGTCTCAGTTTATCCGCTTGTTAACCCACATATGCTTTAGTATGTGGAAATTTGGCTTGACTTCGGATTTTGGATTCAACATATGATGCTTTATCTAGGAGGGGTCAATATTTCCTTAATGTGACATCTGTTGCCAGGTAACCTTTAAGACTTAGTTCCTATTGACCAGCTCTCACTGTCAATGTAGTTACTATATTTATTTGGTAAGAGGTTCTTCAAAAAATAAATACCTTGCTGCTGCATTAGCATTGGCGTTTTTGATCAATATTAACTGATTGCATTCTTCGAAACTGACACTGGCCCAAGCCTAGTGGCCGCCATTAAGGAAATAATAAATGTGAAACTGTTGTTATACCATCTCTGAATATATTAGCATTTGATTTATAGATTGTTTCAAATATTATGTATTACAAAAGCCTGTCTCACATCCTATAGACACATGGACACTGTGTGTCTCTCTAGAAACGCTAATGTTTTTGGTAAAAAATACTTTTTTTTTTTTTAATGAAAACACAGCTGCTTGGTAAAGACACCATGTGGCTCTAAGACACTATAGTACCAAAATTTTTAGGAACACTGTGTTTATCTAGAATGTGCGTTGGGTGAATTAAGGCAATAATTGCCAAGTAGACTTCCATTATTAAAAAAAAAGTGCATATTTAATTTACCTGATGGAAAGTGACTATGGAGTTGATGATGGACCATGCACACCTAAATAATGTCTGTTGTATATTGGGTTTTGAAGACTTTCGCGTTTGCTAGGAGATGGAGAAGAAACAATTTTTTCAGATCTGAAATTGTGTATATTTTGTTTTATAAACAAACCAAAATGTTTCATTTAATTTACAAGTGCCATGGTCAAGTCAGCCAAAATGAAGATAATGCAATTTTAGATAAAAAAAAACTGTTTAATTTTGCAAGATTATTCCATGTTTAGTTTAATACAAAGTAACATAGAATTGAACTATGTTATTAAATAGCTACCCTCAAAATATGTCTGTTGATCATAAATGGGACAATTTCTGAGGAATTAATTTATTATTTCCCTTAACTTTGAATAATTTTATGACTTTCTTCGTTTCATCTTCTTTGTGTAAAATCAACAAAGGTAATTTTAGTTATTCATCATTTATTTCCAATTTCCAGCGAAAATTTTCGCACATGCCGAGGAAGACGAGCTCGATGACGTTGTGGACATCGAAGGGGAGGACAACCAGGTAGTTGGCGATGACATAGTTGAAGACGATGACTCTGTTGTTAAATCATCACAATATGTTGACACTACGATATTGTTTACCAAGCCTGTGCCTAACTATGGCGACAACGCTTTTGGTAAGTATGGATTAAAGTTCTTACTTTGTTGTATTATGAAAACCTTAATATTATAACTGGTGTTATGCTACATTTTACTGTCACCCATGTACATATATCATAAATTTATGCTTATCATATTTATGATAACCAAAAATAGCTATATAAACAAACACTGCTAAATTGTCCAAATAAAAAAAAATTCCAGACCTACAAGCTGGTTACCCAGTGGAGTTCCTAGTGGGATTCATCAACAAAGGAGATGAAGACTATCTTGTTGAATCCATGGAGGCATCTTTCCGCTACCCTATGGACTATACTTACTACATCCAGAACTTCACTGCGCTGCCATACAACAAAGAAGTTAAGCCGAAGCAGGAAGCCACTTTTGTCTACTCATTTATACCTAATGAAGCCTTTGCCGGACGACCATTTGGCTTGAATATCCAGTTGAACTACAGGGACGCTAGTGGAAACTACTACCAGGTAGGTTTTCTGAACTATTTTAATTTAACCAATATGTGGTCTTATTAACTGCCATGCAGAAGTCCCAGGTTCGATTCCCGAGGCGGGAGAAGTATTTGTATGGCCTACATTTATTTCTCTCGTGAGTTTGGGTGTAATTTGTGGTTGTCTATGTGTGTGTCCATGGCACCCGCGATACAGGGTTTTCCCTAGTGCGGGACTATGTTGAGTGTGTGCGTTATTATTATACAATAATAATAATGTGCCAGACAACTGTACCAATTATCTGGTCTCAATCTAGGGGGGATTCTCTGTACTATGAGAACCAGAGCAACGGAATTCACTCTGGGGTGCTTTCTGGAACACCTAGACCAGTACTAATTTAAAAAGTTCCATTCCCAATTTGGTTCTATCAGGAATCCAACCACAGAGCGTCTCATCCAGCACCCACATATAAATCGTTGGGCCGTCATCAAGGTTCACAAATAACTAATTGTCGAAATATTATATATTATACAAAAAAAAATATTGATTACTTTAATAGCCAATTTGAGTTTGTCCTCATTAATTATTTTGCTTTTGGGAAAATATTAATTATAGCCACCAACAACAATAAAATCTTAAATTAACTTTCCTATACTGATATCACAGTACTTTTAAATATACATATAATTACGTTGAGAAAATTTTTAATTTTTTCACAAAATATTGTAAGACAGAATATTAAAACTGTGGATGAGATAAATAAAGATAAAAATGTCGATACTTATTTCTGCCATAAAGCAATAACGTGGGCATTACTGGCTTCTGGTTTCGAACAGTAAGGGTGCTGGTGAAATTACAGGCATATGTGAGTTCTCAACGTATGTCTCAGGGTGACGGGCGCAGTGGCAGTGCCCCTCAGATCTGCAATTGTTATGGATAGGCTTTTCGCTTACCACAGCGCTTGACTTGTTTGTCCCGTCATTTGGTAACATACATAAAAAGAAAGGCTGTGGTCTGTGGCCACAGTCCTACATACACGTTGTGTGTATGTAGGAACAAAAATAAACTAGCTGTTTTTGATAGTAATTTTCACGACGTTTAAAACTGTAATAATACAAAAAACACAAAAATTTTACAATTTCTCCATTTTTTTATGACGAAACTTCGGTACAGAGTGATCTGTTTAGTTTTATCTTACAGGATGGTTTTACTAAAGATATTTATAAAAATTATCGTACACGATAAATATGAGCAGTTGGCTATCTACGATACCAAGTACTTTATGCATTTTTCTTAGGGGAATCTGCCTCACGAACATGTAGTTCTGATTAATTTGATGAGAGAATTGCAATTGACATCAATTGCAATTCTCTCGTCTGTGTATTTGGGAATGTGTGAATAAGGTTTCCCAATTTCTTTGCCATGATCTATCCTATGTACTGACGTTGAACTATCCTTTTCAACAGGAAGCAGTGTACAACCAGACAATAAATATTGTTGAAGTGTCTGAAGGACTGGATGGAGAGACATTCTTCCTATACGTGTTCCTCGGTGCGGCCTGTGTTTTAGGCCTTGTGCTGGGCCAACAAGCATTGTCATCGCTCGCGCGCCGCCGTTCGCCGCGCTCACAATCCAAACCGCTCGAGACCGGGACCGCCAATGATGTTGATTATGACTGGCTGCCTAAGGAAGTTGTTAACCAACTCAGTGAGTATTCTTTATCATTATTGTCAAATAGGTATCTATAAAGGCATCCGCTTTTCTAGATCCGTTTTAGAATCCGATTTTTCAAGAAATTAAGGATCTTGTTAATCGATAAATTTAGGTTATTTAGGTTCCAGGTCACTCCGACATCGATGTTAATGAGATAGTGGATGAATTGGCCAAAGCTGATGCTAGAGAGGACTTCATTAGTCCCGAACCCCTTACAGGGATAGCACACAGACTGGCAAAGCTCACTCTGCTGAACGAGAGCATACATCTCATACGAGTGTTGTGGCTGCAGAGCAAAGGTTCTTTAGCATTCAAAATTCCTGATCGCTCTGTCACTGGACAGGAGTGTCATCAGACTGACTAGAGCTTTAACAGGTCATTGTGCTTGAACAAGGTCATGTCAAATATTGGGCAGAAACTTGGACAGAAAAAAGAGAGTAGATTCTGCCACGAGGCGAATAAAATTCCTGTGCATCTCCTGACCCAGTGCTGCCCCCTAATAGGCGTACGTAGTTCTGGGAAGGCACAGGCACACTCAGAGGACATAAAAACTGTCAGAGCCAGAAAAGTCCTTCAGATCTTTAGTGCTGTTGGCTTTGACTCTGAACTGTAATTAGTGGTGGCCGCACACGCCCCGAATGCAGCCACTCTAATAATAATAAATATTCAGTAATTATTGTTAATAATCAGTTACTACACTAATGGCGCATTTGGTTGTCTGCCTTGCCGAAGGCGATGCAGTCCACCGTTTATACCGAGCGCAAAGCAAGTACAAAACCCAAATACAATGTCAATTGTTGGCATGTCAAAAAAAGGGGACTGTTGTGTGTTGCAGATCCTTTGTTTGAAACTACAAACAATATGAATTGTATGGATGGATTTTAATGAAGGGTTATATCACGGATATAATTCAAAATGCAGAAGATTTTTGGAAGTCATTTATATTTTTCTAAATATTGGCAAGTGCCACAAATCATTAGTTTATCATTTCGATTTTTAACTAGATCATTTGGAAAAAATTGACAATGTCCATTCCTCACGTTGTAAGATCTAGAAAGCTTTGTTTATCTGTGGTCTAATACCATTGACTTACTAATAAATGGACGACGCGACGGGTCTAATACAAAAATCACGAAAAAAATGTCCCAAGTCAACCTATTTAAACGTAGTGACATGTAAAGGAATATGAAAAAGCTAAAACGTTGAATTTAAATTGTAATGTCATCGCAGTGCTGTCTAATTTTGCTTGCTTCGCTGTCAGTCGAACAAACGAAGACTAAAGCGTGAATGACGCTCTGTATACGATTTTAACGCCCTATAAGTTCGGACACTTTTTAGCGCGGACCCGACGTCCATATAATTGTAAGTCAATGTCTAATACAAATAATTTTGAATTGAAAAGCCAATGTTAGTTTAGTACGGATGACAAATGAGTTGAAATATCACTGCCACAAAAAATAACTAGTTTTTTTTTTTCAGAAAAATCGCCCAAAACACCCAAACAGTCGCCACGTATGAGGAAGGCGAAGAGATCTGCTGGCGATGATTAATCGCAGAAACAGTCGCGTGATAGCGCCGAGTGTTCAACTACGAGTACAATAAGAATACGTCACAGTACCAAGACGCATCCAAATATGTCATACACACAAGTACTACGTCCTTGATCACCCAAGTTAGTAGTACATTGTGGGTGTACAGACTATGGAGAAAAATCGTTACCTATTTGCCAATTTAAATAAGAAATACAAAAATCAAATAAATGTACAATATAGGTTGTTTGAAAGTCACTGTCACATTTAGCGCATTAAATTTATAACTAATGAAATTAGTCTTCTAGGCGTATTCTTATTTGATTCGTTGTGTGCAAAGACTGTGTGTAGCATAAGTGTGTTGTGAGCTAATAAATTATGGAACAAACAGTGTGAAGCTTCGTAACAACGTGAGCGATTATAAGACATTATTTAATAAAATGTTAAATTTTTTCAGCATATTGTTTTATTTTTTGTAGGGACAGTTTTTTTTAGAGAATGCAGGTTTTGCCACGAAGCGGATGAATCTCTTCTGCACTTCCTTACTTAATGCTGCTGCCCCTTGATTGGCACTCTACACTGGGAAGGCACATGCCATAACCAAAAAATGCAGCCAAGAAGATTGGCATCCTTTCCAAGGTGAGGTGATACTTCTTACCGGGACAGTTGCTTCAGCTGTACCAAGCACAATTCCGGTCGTTTATGAAGTACTGCTGCCACTTATGGGGTGGCTCTGCTAAACACCAACTGGCCACCTTAGATTCAATAGACAAGCGTGCTAAAAGGCTTATAGGTGACTCGGAACTAGTAGAGGCGAAGCTGCAGAGCCTTGAACACCGCCGTAGAGTTGCCAGCTCATCAGTATTTTACAGGATATGTCATGGAGAGTGTGCAATGGAATTGCATAATTTGATTCCGATTCCCCTTTCCATAATCGGGAGACTAGACGTGGGCTGGGGTTCCACCCCTATGTTGTGGATATTCCCCGGATTCGCACGAAGCGTTTCGCTTCCCCATTTGTATGGCGAGCGGCTAATGAGTGGAATTCCCTGCCTGCAGATTTGTTCCCCGAACGCTATAACTTGGACCTTTTCAAGGCGAAAGTTAATAGGTATTATTTAGGTGTACATGCTACATCCTCGACTTCATCATCACTTTCCATCAGGTGAGATGGAGGTCAAATACGTACTTATTTTTTTTTTATAAAAAACAAAATGTTTCTAAAAAAAATAAAATAAAACCAGAGATCAAAACCGTCAAAAGATAGAAGAATCTTTCAGTTCTTTAACTCTCTTGGCCATATTATATCAATTACTGATCGCAGTTTAATCGAAACTGACACTGGCCCAAGCCTTGTGGCCGCCATTTAGGAAATAGAATAGAATAGATGGTTGCAAAGTTCCTGAATGAAGGTATCCTAATAACAATAATGATAACCGACACGTGTTATGTGGCCTCCACTGAAATAATCCCAACAGGTTTGTCGCAATCGGGTTCATTCCAATCAGCCACGCTAACAAATTGAGGAGTCTGTTGGATTTTCGTGGCATGTCGCTTCCTGCACAAATACAGAAGCAGTCTTGCTCGATACAGCAAGTATTGGTCGCCGGTTCTAAAACTTGAGGCCTGACCCCGGACGACTGTGCCGGGAATACAGCCTCTCTCACTTAAAAATTCAAAAATGTTCTTTTAAGCCATGGGAGAGGCGAGTCTAAAATAAATGTCCATAATAATAATAATAATAATAGCATTTTTGAGGTATGCTTGCATGAGACCACCAAGGTTTATTTCCGTACCAAACAAGCAATTACTAAATACTATCATTGTTGTATATGTACCTATAATTCAAGCCCTAAAAATATATTTTAGCAGCTATGATAAAATTCACTATTTTGGTCAACATGTAGGCGTTTAAATAGATGGCTGTGTCTTGTATAAAAAGCAGGAAATGCAGGAACATTAATATTCACATCAAGACTCCAAAATTTCGTGTATAGTTAGCAAACTAATAAGTTAGTTATTATTGTTACTGTTTGTCATGTAAACTCCTGTTGTATGTTTTTTTGAACAGCACCTGTTCTAATAAATTCCTTTCTTTTATTTTGTTTACAGGGAAATATGTGATTTTTGTTTCGTTGGCGGTTTTGATTTTTTACATCTAAATTACGTAATTATTGTATATTTACAATATTCTATTGCGTAACTAACTGAAGTACTTTAGATAATAAATTAAAACTTGCATAAATTGTTGAGAAGTAGATGTAGCTACAAAATTAATAATAAAAATTTTAAGAGATAATCGATCGATTCAGCAAGTCGATTCTGAAACAGTACAAAGTGACACTAGCTTATGTCAATTTCTTTTTCACGCACGCCAGCTTTGGTGCACGTGTGTTTTCTAAGTTTAGCTCAACAAAACGTTGAAATGGATAAACCTAACGTTCTTGCTCGTGTGGTGAAGGTCCTAGGGCGCACTGGGTCACAGGGGCAGTGTACGCAGGTGAAAGTTGAGTTCATTGGAGAGACTACTCGTCAGATTATCAGGAACGTGAAAGGACCCGTACGCGATGGCGACATTCTTACGCTCCTTGAATCTGAACGTGAAGCTAGGAGATTGAGATAAGGTGTAAGTATATTTGGTATAGTTATTTATACTTGAAATACGAATTTATTATTTCTGGTGATCAATATTTTGAGGTTATGTTCTTGTTGTATCGAGGTGTTAAGTTCTACGTTTAACATCTTTATCTGCTGTGAAACACGGGCTGTAGCAATAGAATACTCACGTTTAAACCCAAAGCGAGCCATATTTCGTTATAAATTTTCATATTTCTGTTTCCATTGTTTCAGGTTTCCAGCTACATTTGATTAGGTTAAGGCCCAATATGTATGTTCTATCCAAATTCACGTGTTAACATCAAGAAACCGTCAAAGATGACAATCTCTATGTAAACAGCTCGTAATAAATTATATGTAAACTGTAATAATCATTGTTTTATTATAACTACTTTTGTATGTGACAATTTTTTAGACTGGGTAAAGCAATTGTTAATTAGGCCTTATAAACAATATGTATGGAACATTAGTATCGCTGAGATGACACAGATTACATATGGCCACACAAGAAACAATTATTAAGGATATTATTAGCGCTATTAGCTAATTAATTTTAATAATTGGCAATTGATAAAATTTCATGATCATTAATTACAACTGGAGTAACAAGGCCAGACCAGTTTGAACAACGGGGAAACACTGAATTATTTCCTGGCCCTAGGCAATTGTTTGCTCAGTTTTGGATAACTATTAGTAGGAACTTTTTGAGGCACCTATGTGCTTCATTGCACAATCATTTTTGTAGCTTGTGAAAGACTGCCACCAAGCAGTAATACTCACATTGCTGTTTTCAGTTTTGACGGGTAGTGTGCTGGTGGTGAAGTTTATGGAGCAGTGGCAGTGCCCCTCGGATCAGTGGCACTGCTTGGGTAAGTATGATACTTACCACCAGGTGCAAGACCTATTTATCTTTGTCATTGATAAAAGTGTTTGGTGGCTATTTTTGTCTACTTGCTGGTGTAACGGGCTGGTGTCTGCAACTCGTCGACAAGGCGCCTATTTTGCGTGTGGTGGGTGGAGGGTAACTATTTTTGTCTAATGCTAGAGCTCAGTGTGTGACACTAAACACTGTAGATTCTGTAATAATTATAAATCTGTGGTTACGTTTCAATACAATATTCAGATTTGGCTTTGATTGTATACAAGATTTTACATCTTACATCAACTTCATGACTGCCTAAAGTTATATAAATAAGTAGTTCGTGTAAATATGCCATGATATAAAAGTGTGCTTATGACACTCCATTCAGAACAGATCTAGTGTACTGAAAAGTGGGGTTTAACTCTTAAGGTGTATGGTACACAGTACAGAACTTGACTTATTCTCATAACTCACAGAAATATTACTAAAATATTCACCAAAGAGTAAAAAAAAGTTGATATCTTAATAGTTTCAGCTACCTTGAAACTACAACTTTTGAGAGCACTACGTGTCAGATTTATTATGTAGGCTTGTATCATTGCCACAATAAATTTTAAATGACTAGTAACATTGATGACTAGGTGCTACAGTAGTGTACGCTGTAGGTACTCCACTAGTGTATGCTGTTATTGCTCCAGTAGCATATACTGTAGGTGCTAGAAGTGGTCCCAGGATCGATTCCCAGTAGGAGCAATTTGGGAAACAAGTTTTTCTAAATTACTTCTGATGTTGGTATTGTTGGAGCCCCATATTAAATTTCATTGCTCTGGTATTTATGAGTACTACTTGGTTTAAACTAGTAAATCCAAAGTAAAGAAGAAGTAAAACCCGAAGGGGGAGGACTACTAACAATATTTATGAATATTTACTTTTCTTGTTTTAGTAGGTACTGATAATTTCAATAGGGAATTTTATACTTACTGTTGGCTACTAACTCTGAGAATGAGCCTAATGATAAAGCGGAACCACTTGGTTTAAATTACGCGCGTAACTTTAATTTGATAGAGTTGTAGTTTAAAACTGTTGGGTACATTAAAACTATTCCTGAACTAGTTTTATCGGTTCAGGCCTCTCGTGACAGTAGGATTTGTAGTCTACTTATATTTTTGGGGTTCTCTATAGTTATACATCTCAATGTTTAACTTGTTCGGTGTTCCAGAGACACTGACAGTGTCTTTTCATTTGTGTTTTGTTTGTATAAAATAATTTCCCCACATATACATATACACAATACTTGGTACTTGGTGCAACGGGCCGGTGTCCGTAACTCGACGATAAAGCGCCTATTTTGTGTGTGGTGGATGCAGGGTTCTAGTCGTGCCACTCAAGCTCCTCCAGGAATCTCAGCAACCTGCTCGGTTTGCTGAAGATTTCGGGGTGCTGAAGATTTCGGGGAGCGACCTCGGCACTCCAAGGTACTTCGCCCTGTAGTTGGCCACGCCGGAGCACTGTAGTAGGATGTGCGCGGCCGTTTCCTCCCCCTCCATGCACGCTCTGCATAGAGGGTTGACATATACACAATAATATCTGTCCGCTGCTCAATGGACGATACATATAAATTTTTTTAATGATATCAAGTGACAGAAGGAACAAGTTGTGCATCTCGCCAGATTACCACCATAAGGCTGTCCATAACAGTGCCTATAGAGCTTTAAATCGCAAAGATCTAAGTGGCAACATCACACTGAGACATAAGTTGAGAAGTTTCGTGTGTCTGTAATTTTACCAACACCCTTACCGTTCAAAACCGGAATGCAGTAATGTGAGCATTATTCTTTGGCAGCAGAAACAGGAAAGGTGATAGTACTTCCCTGGACAAAGACTTTCACAAGAATTCTACTGCTACTTATATGCAACATTAGCGAACCTGCCATGCGTCTTAGAGACACGCACAGAAAAAAAACACTTTCTATCCACCATTTTAAAAATATTTTAAATTTATAACAAATATTTTAACACAATGGTTAGGAACACTGTTTGTCTTCAGGCTGCATGATGAATTCATTAATGTTGCATATCGACTGTGAACTGGCAACCGGTACTATCTCAATTTTGACAACTTTACAGGATGCAGAAAAAACTTGTTTGCGTCATTTAAATAGCACCTGATTTATTAAATAAAAATACTTATGTAGTTTTTAGATATTTTTATTACACATGTTATTGAAAACAATAGAATTTCTTGCTTGCTTGATGCGGAGTATGAAATAGTATAAAATGGTATTAAAAAGAGAAATCTTTAGAAAATTTAGATAGTACCGGTTGCCAGTTAAGTCTATACATTATTTTCTATGGAGCAGTAGCAATATTATTGTGTATGTATGAAGAGAAATGATTTCATACAAACAAAACACATGCAAATACCTCAAGCCTGCTTCAAACACTGAACAGAGGTTCAGATTATGAGAGCATGATCATAGTATTTCCAATCTTAATTTGAAGCAGTAAGTAATTAAAGTAATAATTACTTGATAACTCTAACAAAGTGTATATGTATATTCCACAATCAGTACTTAATAAAGCTATCTTTGTATAATTTTATCTTCCTATACATAGATATCATATCTTAAGGGGCCGACCAATTACAACATTTTGCGTATATCTTCTGACATACTTACAAAATTGACACCACTACATAATTTATGTCAATAGCACTCCAATATTCTGCTTGGCAGAACTTGTATATACTTGATCACTTTAGAGATTATAATCTATAAAAAGAAAAATCTATTCTCATATTGTATTTCACATGATTGTTATGAAATCATTACTAACAATTAACTGTACATACATTATCATCACATTTTTATAAATTAACATAACAATTGAGATAGTTAAGTACATACAGATCGGCACATTTTCTTTCTTTTGGACACTTCTCACTCCATAAAATGTTTTACACAACAGACATGTAAATTAAAAAATATAAGTCTTATGTATTTATAAAAATATACAAAACGGTTTCGTATTTTTTTTGCATGCTGGAAGGCAAAGGCAACAGGGTGTCCCGCGCGTTCCCGCCTTCTCTCTTCTTGAGGAACACATAACAGCTCCTTGAGCACTTTGGTAGGTAACTCGGAGCGGTCGAGTGCGACTACGTATCGTACTTCTCTTCCTCGCACTGGCTCGCCCAAAACAAGCAGTTCCCGATGCCGCTATAACATATGAGTATCACAGCCGCAAGAAACACGACACTGCACACGGTACAAGGCTTTCTCTCTAAGAAGAATCCTATCAGGTACAACACCATGAACATTACGTGGGTGTTGACGAGCGCCGGGTTCACGGGCTTCGGTATCAACAGCACAGGGATCAGCCATTGCAAACAGTACATCGCGTCGGTCCAAAAAATCTTAAGGAATACTATCGTATAGCAATACAACGGATCACTTTATGTGCCTCAATCGACATGATTCAGATGATATTTTCATTATCTCTGTACAATTACTACTTTTCGATTAGAAAACTTGATGCAATTACGATTTTGCGAACTATATAGTTGCTTTGACAGGAAGAGTACTGTGTTGCTATAATTTTTTTTTCAGATTACACATAAAAAAAAGAGGTTCGATGCAAGGAAAATACTATCAAAACACTTTGTAAGTGGCTAAAAGGCTTACCGCGAAAAGCCAAGGTAAATAAAAAAAAGGAAAATTCAAAATGGTTCAGGGGCCTTATCATGAACTCTTAATACAGTTCAGTATAGGTTTGTAACGACAAAAAAGCGGGATGGTGATATACACTTCATGTAGCGCTATCTCACAACGATCCATTTTAGGTCCTTAATTGAATCGTAATAAGAGTTCACGGTAAGGCCCCAGGGCTCAAAATCTTAGACTTTTTTCCATCCTTTCAAAATAATCTTTCTTTTTTTATCAAATTAGTGTTAGTTTCGAATTCAATCAATTCTTATTTTTATATTCAAAATATTTCTTAATTATCTGAATAATTACAAAGTATGCAGCAAGCTAAGGAGAAATATTACTAAAAACGCTAATAATAATATTGCTGAGTAGGTGGAATTTGTTTTGATAGGTTCTAAAAATAAGAATTGGCGCGGAAGACGAAAATCATCAAAATAATTTTATTGTGTGCATGTGTATGCTAAACTTGAGAGTTATGATTTTTTCAATTCATCGCATAACATGGTTAGCTAGAACATCGCATATCAAAGAGCTTTGAATGAAATAAACAGAATAGATGAATGATGAGGACTGGTTTGCCTAAAATATCCTACGTAGGTAGTGCATGTCAAGTAAATACGTATTTAAAAAGAGTAGAGATTAATTTTACGATAACGTCGCGTTGTTGCAATTTCTTCAGATACCTTTATTTGTTCATTACGACAACGACACCGCAGATAACACAACGATTATTGTATAATATTTACAACATTCATATTTTAAATACATATTGTAAGACGGAATACTATGAGTACATGTTGTATATAGGTAGGTAGATTCTGTGGTTTACATTGTTTTTCGTATTCATTTCAAAAGTTATCTAAATTATTATAGAAATCTGTCGGGAGACGTAGGGGAAATTGATTTTCGAAATTATGGTAATACCAGTGGAGAAATGTTTCAAATCCAAGGTCAGATAAAGTAATTTAAAAAAAGAGTTTAAAATTTTATACAATGACATATTATATATTGAACGAGAACTCATTCTTACTTTTTTGTACTCTGCATGAAATATTTATCTAGTTACTAAAGTACCTGCATATGAAATACTAGAACACAAACCAAAAAATTAAGAACTATATTTAGGAATAACAAAACAAAAATACGCTTTGTGTACATTGACTTACAAATAAATGGACGACGGGTCTAATACAAAAACCACGAAAAAAATGTCCCAAGTCAACCTATTTAAACGTAGTGACATGTAAAGGAATATGAAAAAGCTAAAACGTTTAATTTAAATTGTAATGTCATCGCAGTACTGTCTAATTTTGCTTGCTTCGCTGTCAGTCGAACAAACGAAGACTACTTTAAAATATACCTTTAAAAAAAAACAGGACATTGGCGAAATCGCCATTTTTTTGTATAATTTTTATAATAATATTAAACTACTGTACATAGTTATTTTTACTTGACATTGGCAAAATCATTATTTCGATGGAGCCATAACATTTAAAAAAAGAAGAAGAAAGCGTGAATGACGCTCTGTATACGATTTTAATGCCCTATAAGTTCGGACACTTTTTAGCGCAGACCCGACGTCTATATAATTGTAAGTCAATGTTTGTGTATGTAATATTTATTGAGCATTGTGATATTCTAAGTCATAATAACAAACTGTTCAATTTGCTAGAATACGGTGAATAAACATTATAATATTACCATGAGTGCATTGTATTCAACATTCAGCCTATAAACCTGCAAATGTTATTCACAAAATAAAGCTCGTGATATGTGTGAGCACCCGTATATTTAGTTCCATCGTGGAACGGCAAAAACAGTTTAATAATCGAAGTCAACTATTGTATATTCATGTGGTCTGTGGTATTTTCAATTATAGCGCTACACTGCTTTGTACGAGACTCAATCTCTGATGCTTGGGTTTTCAAAATTCAGCTGTTTCTGCACTAACTTAGGTACTCTACGTCCATGAGAAAGTTACGGAAACTCTCTACATAATATTCTCGTAGTACGTCTATAAGTATTTTGTAACATTTGACGTTTCACTAGTCTCGTCTACGCACTCTTTCCCGCTGACATCGTTACGTGTGTAATATAAATGCTCGGGAACAAGACAAACCGTTCAATTTTAGTTCTGTGCTCAATGTTGAATTCTTCTTCTTCCTGTCCTTATGTGTTGAATCACGAGCATATTACGAGCAATAAATATATTTTAATTTTTGTTTCTATATCCACATTTTTATTTTTCCTTTCCTTTTTGGCTTTTCTCCCTGTCGTTCTTAACATTTTACTTTGATGTTAGCACGTAGTAACAAAGTTGTTATGTAAGTATACAATTGTTACACGTTTTATCTGTTATGATAAAAATTAAGTCCACTTATCGCGTTATTTGTTAACAAAGTAATTAATAAATAACAGTATTATATTTTATAATTTTCCGGCGGCGATTACACTTCTTTATTTCTACTAAATGGCGCAAAACATACAAACAGGTTACAGAACTAAATACATAAAAACATTTGAGATGTACTGAATAGACAAACGCCATTAATTATGTGGAACACATATAAACACAAAACAATCCTTCTTCGATATCACTAAACTTAAGAATTAGTCTATATTCTCATTTCGTACCGAATTGTTGATGAATAGTCTGCAGAATTACATTTCCTGTATAATGATAACGCTGCTATAGTGTTGTGAAGAGTAAAAGTAGGTACAAGACGATATTTGCCAGCCGTGATAGCTTAAAAATATTGTCGTGAAACAAGTCTTCCATAAGTAAATAGCGTAGATAACATATAAACTAATCCAAGTAAAAATATTGTCGTGAAACAAGTCTTCCATAAGTAAATAGTGTTGATAACATATATATGTATGTACGAGGGCTTGGTAAAAAGTAGGACTATTTTTTCGTCTGCTTTCTATTGAGCAACAGCAACAAACGTTATAAAAACTAGTCTATTATTTTATATACTGTCATTTCTGGAAGCAAAAAAGACAAAATGTCTTCCAAAGAATGTTTCGATAGTATAATGGCAGAAAATGAATTGCCTGTATCGCTGCAGAAGTCCATCAACGACATCATAAAAATGGAGGGCTACAAAACATATAAAGTGGACATAAAATGTGTATCTACTGCTGGAGGAAATTATTTAGGAATTCTATACGAAATTGATGTCGAAGGAACAACAATTAATGGTGGAAAAGAGACAAACCTTTTTGTTAAAGCTGCACTCAAAGTAAATATTTTAGAAGATATATTTCCAATAAAAGATGTTTATTCAAATGAAGTCTATTTTTATAAAGATTTTGCGAAGGTTTTTGAAAATTTGGAGAATCTAGCTATGATCCCTTTAGAGAAAAGGTTTCACAAAATAAAATGTTACGAACAGACAAATGTCGAAGCTATAATACTTGAAAATTTAGCAAAGAAAGGCTTTAAAACGTTGCACAGAATGGATGTACCATCTCTTAAGTTTGTAGAATTATGTATTCAAGAAATTGCAAAGTTTCACGCATTCTCTTACGTAATACAAAAGCGGGATCCAAAGTATTTTTGTGAGAAAATATCTTCTAGAAAATCGGCAACTAAATTTAGTGCCCAATGGGAAAAAAGCATGTTACATTTTTGTCGATTAATGAAAAAGTATTGCGATGGCGAATTAGAAAAGAAAATTGGAGATTTCTTGCCTATTTGTTTAAAGAAATTGCGTCAGTATTATACAGATCAAGAGTCTACAATTTGTTGTTTGTGTCATGGCGACTTCCGGGTCAGTAACACTTTAACTCTGGAAACGGTAAGTAATAAATTATTTCAATTGTAAGCACTGAAAACACATTAGTAGACAACTGGCACGCGGCATAAAATGGCGACTAACTTTTTATCTTATCGGACAAAATGATCGTATAGTTTTTTATTATTATTTATAGTGAGTGTTTTCCCATTCATTATCATCAACCCATTCTCATTTTCCAGTTCATAGTTCAGCCGCGTTTGCAGGCGGACGTGCCTTCTGCAAATTGTATTAAAATTATAATAACAATATATTTCGTAACTGTGTCAATATAGCTCCCGCGTAAATCTGTGTCAGCGCAAGATGATCGTGCGGTTATTGGTATTACGATGAGATTTTTGTAGTGATTTCTGGTTTAAAAATGGATAGTCCATTTAATCGGAGTACGATGACAATCAGTCCACACAACCACAATCGAGCAGTGCCTGAACGATATATGCAGTATTTCAAATGATGGTAAACTAAATTCAGAACAAAAAATTTAAAATAAGTAGCATAAGCAGAAGCCTTATGGGAGGAGGTTCCCAGTTAGCCGTAAAATATCAGTCCCTTAAGCAAAAATATATTTCATATCAAATAATTATCCAGAACCATAATGACCGGAAAGAAATCTCTGTCTAAAGCTCAGAAAGTCGGAAAGAAGTCTCTGTCGAAGACCAACTTGAAGGTTTGAAAGAATGCCGTATGCATTCTTTCAAACCATTCCAAAGATAGCAGCATATAATACATCCTTTGCTGACGTTGTTAAAAAGGGGTACAACTCATTTGTACGTCCACCTAGTACCAGCAGCATTATTGTTTACCCGACAAATAAAGGGAAATCAACCGAGGACACGAAAAAGCTCATCCAAACCGTAACTAAGCCCGAAGAATTGAAGCTCCGAGGCATGAGGAAAACTAAAGATGGAGGTGTCATAATCAGAGCTGAAGGAAAAGATGACCTCGAAAAGCTGAAGCAATTCGAGCAACTAAAAAATTCAGGGCTAAAGGTTGAAGACAAAATTAAAAGGAGATAAAAATAATATTATTATACCTCCTCTACGCCTGAGAATGAGTGTAACGCGATAAGTTCTTAAGCTCGATCAAGTTGAGCCACAAATCTGGCAAAAAGGACTCATCATATTGCAACTTTACATTGGAATTACCAGCGGATATCAAAAGCATGATCATCCAACAGGAGCGAGTGTTTATTAACTGGACATCCTGCTCCGTTAGGGACTTCACGATCGTAACTAGATGTCACAAATGTCAGCAGTATGGACATTCCGCAAAACACTGTCGAGACGGCGACTCCACTTATGGTCACTGCGGCTGCGTAGGTCATGTAATTAAACAAAAAGAGAACAATTTAAGTGCGCTTCTTGTCAAGCGGTACAACAAGCCAAGCCCACACAGGACGGGAGATGCGCTGTGCCCAGCGAGAAAAAGTGTTGAAGCTAGATACTTAAACTCCGTCGACTATGAGGGCGCCTAGACCGCCCAACAGCAAAACAATGTATAGCACAGGAATGGGAAATGTAACAAATGATTTTGTAAGTGACGTAGATTTCCTTAGAATATGAATCTTGTACGTGTGACCCTGAAAGATGTTCTACGATTATCGCTAATATCAAGTGTAGCCATAATATTTTATTACAAAACAATTTTAATAGTTTGGTAACTTTATAAAGTCTGATTAATATTGATATTGATGTAATTGTACTAACTGAATGCTCGTTATCTTTTACATCCTGCACTAACTGTACATGACGCACATTCTACTAAAAAAACTAATATTTTATAAAATGTTGGTGCTACATTATATATTAAAAAAATATTACTAATATTACAACAGAGGAATCCGCCATTGTAGACGGTAAATGTCTGGCGGGCGCTAAGCCTTCCCTTTAGAGGAAACCCGTGCTCAATACTTTGCCACTACCATTGCCACACATCAAACCACAACATCTGTCACTTTTTTAACACTACGTAAATGACGAGGTACAATTTTTAACCAGGGATTTAGGAGTACTATTTTTAACCAGAGATTTCGAAGTACAATCTAAGCTGGGACCCATCTTATCATGATTCTTTGTATTCTTTTTTTTTTCAGGAAGGTGAAACAGAAAACGTGATATTACTAGATTACCAGTTAATATATTATGGATGTCCTGTCAACGATTTTCTTTACTTTATCTACAGCTGCACGGATCGAAACTTTCGGTCCCAACACCTGGAGCACATAAAGGACCTTTACCATAATACTCTAAGCAGATTTTTGCAATATTTTAACATAGATGTAGAAGACGTTTACCCTAGGAAGGAGTTTGAAAGGGTTCTAGATTACAAAAAGGATTTTCCAATGATATTAGCCTTGTATCTGTATCCTATCTTGTTTGTTCCCGAATCCGTTGCGCCTGATGTAGGCGAAAATGATGTTTCTGCTATTGATTACGATATTGATCCTAGAGGCCGAGAGAGGTTTTTAGAGATTGCGGAAGAGTTTTGGAGCTAAGAAATCTGATTTCTTTAAAAAACTTGCAAATATTTGTAATATGTAAACTAGACCACTGTCTCACCAAGGGTTGCCAAGGTTTATGACTTCAGACGATAGATATTGACTAAACATAATATTGTTGGTAGTTTTAATTTGATTTCTTTTTTATAATATTAAGTGACGGGTCGTACGCCTGATGGTAAGCTACACACCTGTCCATAACATGTGCCTGCTATTTCACCAGCACACTTACCTTTCAAAACCGGAACATAGTAATGCTGACATTACTGCTTGGCGGCAGAAATAGGTAAGGTGGCAGTACTGCCCTAGAACAACTCTTTCACAAGGAACTCTACTGCTACTTTTTGTTATTTTTGTTTGCTTTATTTGTTACCTTTTTGGTATCGTAGAAAAGTTAGCTTTATAGTTAAGTTTTTTAGTTGAGCTTTTAGATGCAAAAGCGGATGCAGTTTGTGCAAACGGGCTGGTCTGGGGTTAGGACCTGACTCAGTAGGCGCGGGCTTGCTTGCACAGGTTATAGTGCCCTTCTAGTATAACCAAGAGTCACTATAAACAAAATTTACGTGGAAAAGATATGGGAACTGTTCACACGTCTGTAGTTTCAGTCCTTGTAAGGGCGACACACCTACGATCTTTCGAGGGCATATATATTACGATATCAACACGTATAAGTGCCAAATATTAGAACTTAAAGGAGATTACGTTTCGATATATTTTTTTTCTTAGCTTTTTCTTGGCGTCAACCACAGATTATTTATTATTTACCATCGAGTATATAACCAGAAATAGAGTTTGGATACCACTTTCCACTTAACATCAGGTGGAGTGGAGTCATTTGCCTGTCATGTATATAAAAAAAAAAGAAAAAAAAAAGAGGCGAAACAAGGGCAATACATTCCTGGTAACTCATCAGTGATACATCACTTATAAATATCAACTCTCGTTTGCACTGAAATTACAAATTAGAAACCTGAAATAGTACAGCTCCAACAACTGACCTGTAATACGTCTCTGTATATTCCAAAAATGTTCTGTATTTATTGTAATAAAGATAATATCTCTAATAATGGCGTGCTATTCGGTGGTGTGTGGGAAAACAGGAAAACATCTAATTACAAAACAAACGGAATCAAATAACATCGGTAATTAAATATGTAATTTTGCAATTTTCGTCCATTATAACAAAGCTCAAGTTAACTGGTCGAATTGAAGTGAAACAATTTACTACATCTATTGACTGCCGATAAGGTTTTTGTCTAGAAAACGGTAAATTTGGAAAGAAATTAGGGAAGAGAGACAGAGAGAGAGAGAGAGAGAGAGAGAGAGAGAGAGAGAGAGAGAGAGGGAGGAAAAAAGGGATCGCACAGAGGGGCTCTATTCCTTTTAGGGTGTTTGCATTTTTTCTTTGGATCAATGTATTAATAATTGTGCTTTTTTATTAATTTCAAATTACAACGCTGCACTTTTGCTGTTGTTATTCACCCAAGTATATAAGATTTATTTATTTATTTATTTAAACTTTATTGTACAATACACTGAAGTACAAATGGCGGACTTAATGCCATAAGGCATTCTCTACCAGTCAACCATTGGGCCAAACAGTAAGATCATTGTATTCACCCAAAGAAGTTGTGGTTACAGTGTTAAGACGTGTGGGGTTATCTATTATATTTAAATATTAAGTAAACCTTGACTAAACTTGTATTTGAATTAATTTTCAAATATACTTAGTGTTCTTTTGGTTTTCACATCGATGAGCTTATAGCTTCGTATCGGCTTCTTTGTCAATTATTGTTTATTATATTTTAATAAAATATTTCCGTATTAAAATGTTTTACGTTTGAGTCTACGTACATCCTATTTATACTATCTCTGTATCTGAAATAAATAATAAAACAATACACATATCCACGCAGACCCTGTACCAAAGCTGCCTGCTGTCGTGTCAATAATCAAGCGGAAATTAAATTGAATATAGAAAGAACACGTTAAAAGTAAATTATGTGCTGTTAGAAACAAAAACAGCTAACCGAAATCTTCAATAAACTCGACAAGAGGAGACCATGAATATTCTCCGAATCTAAGAATGTTAAGTTTTTTTTTAATGTAAGCAGTAAATATGACTACGTTCTGCCATAAATTACACAACCAAAAAATACAATGTTTTTACACCGTATATGCATTCAAGAAGTGTGAACAGGAGACCTAAGATACATGTGCATCCCAATTTAGGCTCCTGTCTCTCACAAACTTGAATACATAAACTCTATTCTTTTAGTTTGTACGTATTTGTTGTGAGAAGAAAAAATACTGATGTAGAAATATTTTTTATTCGTTGGGAATGTCCTTGCCTTTATGGTATGTGTAGTGTACCTACTTGAGAAAATACAGACGTAATGCTGATTCTAATCTTGAGGTAATCGATCAAGATTTTGTGTAGAAATAAGAGCGGTGGTTTTACTAAATCGAGATCGGTTGCTTCACAATTGCGACGTCGATACGAATATATATATACGAATCCCAGCACGAATACCTATGAATTAATTACTTCAAACAAAATTCACTTAGCAATACCTCGTTGACGGCGAAGAAAAACATTTATTTTATATTTATTTACATTTGGGAAATTAACAGCTAAAATGGCGTTGATGTAGTTACAATAAGCAATGATTCACAACAAAGAGCCTTTACAAACTTCCTCGAGAATTCTAAATGAATGGCCCAGTTCAAGAAATCCCTAAGTCCGTTTAGGGGTTTTATGCACTATTACCACCATTGGCGAAAACTCAACATTGTCTGTGGTTTAGTCTCACCGTTTTGTTTCTAAGTAGTTCCTATACCATGCTTCGAAAAATTGTAAAACCCCAAGTCCAATGAGTTGACTTCAAGATCAACCTAAGTCCAAGAAATCCCTTAGTCCATCTTTTTTTATATAAATATCATTAAGTTAATACTGAAGGTATTGAAGCTCTTGGTATATGTGCCCATTCATTTGCTAGATTTTTATGAAATTAATTCTCAAATGCGCTGAAGATAAAACAGAGGAACTAGAATAAGACTTATTCTAGTTTTTCTGTTTCATACTCCTTAGTACCTACCTTATTTGGTTCTTTGGTTTATGCTACCTGAAGTAAGGATTTATTTTTGTTAAAATTAAGATTAATCTGGACATAAGATTAAAGGCTTTCTTTTGTATCTTTGAATTTATTGTTTTACTCATAAAATTTCTCACCAATAATCATGGTCAATCACTTCAGAGAATTTTACCTCTAAGTCCAGAAAAAAATTATTAAAATCTAAAATATTTGTAAAATTAAAATAAGGTATTTCATTAATAACTATTATAACTATAGTAAAAAAAATAGGGTGGTTTTCATCAATATTAGACATAACTGGTTGAAGACTGTACCACCTCAGTCAACCGTGACCATGGGACCTGTAAAGGGCCCGAAACGTAGGTTTGTTTGAAAAAACAAATATACGCGATTTAAATCCGGAAAAACAGTGTCATTTCCTATGTGTAACAATCGCGAAAACCTAAGAACTCGATAATTGTTAAAATCGTTAAAAAATCTTTAAGTCGTGTTTAAAAAAAATCCCCCAAAGCGATGCTCTTTGATCACCGTTACTCTTTCAAAGATTTCGTATTTTTGTTTCAAAGACAAAACCAAAAAGATTGTGTAATCTCGAAATTTAAAAAACGGACTAAGGAATTTCTTGAAATGGACCATTGAAATGTATCAGTACTTCACAGTAATAAAAAAAACAAATTGGCAAGGTAGATCAAAATGTGTGTGTATGGTGTTTGTGTCAATGATGATAACGAACCTGCATGTTGAATAATCTCAGTACAAACTACTAAAAAAACCGATCTCAAAAGTTATTCATCCCCTAATGCGAAACCGCATTCATCTCCTAGTTTGCCACCTTTACAGGTAGAATAATAATCACAACTGAGGTACCCTCTTTCCAACAAAAAAAGAATCAAAATCGGATCACAAATGCCGGAGGTATCGCGTAACCTTAGAATAAAGCGCGTAACATACATACAAAAAAACATGTCTCTATTTGTTTAGCATTGAGCGTCCTCGGCACACGGGCGAGTCTGGCTTGAACTTGGTCTATTTGGCGGCCGGCATGGAGACCTAACAGCGGCCGCGCGGTTGTATTATTCAGAAGAATTTAAATGTTGTTGCCTAGTAAATAAAATTTAGATTCGCCATTGATGTGTGTACATCATACATGTGAAGGCGTGGTACCTGGGCGGGCGTGGTAACAACCCTACGAGCAAAGTGTAAGCATTTACCCGCCGAACAGACGTGAGTTGAACTCCTTGCTCTTATATACTATGCTTAAACCCTTTCCTGACATGATGAGGAATAGGATTTAAAAAATGAAAACATGATTTCTCTTATATCGTCGAAGTTTTGTAGAAAGGGCAAAAACCATGTTTTTCACGACTGTTTTAAAAGATTTACGTTCTGATTTAAATTCAATTTTTAAACCTGAACTTCATTAAAACCAAAAATAGATCATTAAAATATAAAAATAAATAAATAACAAAATATGCCTTATTCAGTAGTATATACCGAAGGTCTAATGTGCACCCTTGCGTTTTATAAATAAAACACTTTTATTCAAAAAACGCGTCAGATTTATAAATGAAGACAATTTAACAAAGGTACATTTATCAAAGGTTATTGCTTAAAATTTATTAATACTTCTCCAAGAACAATCCCGAGCAAATGTTAAACCCTTTTGATCTCATCAATTTTTATCTGGTCGTACTTAGGATGTGTACACCAATGAGCGCTAGCACTGCGCATGTTTCACCAATATGGCGTTACCCCACCCCGAGTTTCCCGCCAGTGACGTCTGGCGAGCCGTGCCGTCGCCACTCCATGTTTCACTCCACAAAAATCAAACAATGAAACATAGTCAGTATTCAAATTAATAAAATAAAAAACGATCCCTCTAACCCGCAGTAAAGTGTAGTGAAACAAAATTTGATTAGAGTGTGAAAACTAAGCGAAAAATGATCTGGTACAAATCAATAGAAATGCTATTAAATCTCGGCCCGAGTATTACAAAAGGCGCCCTCACTTTCACGTGGTATTTATTGCTACTCATTACGTGCCATGATGAGGAGTAGAAGCGATATTTAACTCTAATTACCCATTTTAGTAATAGGATGATAATGAAATAACGACAATAATCGTAGAAATAATAGAGATTGTAATTCTAAGAGATCAGCCGATTTATTGTATTACAAAATATGGCGAACACGGCGCATTTAATGAGGCGACAGAGCTCGCGGGATCTGTACGCCCAGCGATCCATGGACCGCATGGAGATGAAAGAGCTAAGAGGGCGTCTGGTTACTATGGAAAACGGGCATCCTTCGCACCGTACCCACGTAATGTACGGGGCTACAAACGAGGCTTTTGAAGATACGAGTCCTAACCGCCAGTCCTCCGAAACACCTACAAGCAAAGCCAGTTCGGAAGCAGAAAGAGCAGGTGTGAAACCTGCGGGAGGAGAAGGCGAGAGAGAGTCATGGGATAGTAAACTCACATTTCTTTTGGCTACAGTTGGATACGCGGTTGGTTTGGGAAACGTCTGGAGATTCCCTTATTTAGCCCAAAAGAACGGCGGGGGAGCTTTCTTGATCCCTTATTTTGTGATGTTAGCAATTGAGGGTATTCCGATATTTTATTTGGAGCTCGCCATTGGGCAGCGACTGCGAAAAGGCGCGATCGGGGTTTGGCACCAAGTCTCGCCGTATTTGGGCGGCATTGGAATTTCATCCGCCGTGGTGTCCTTCAACGTGGCACTATATTATAACTCAATAATCGCATGGTGTTTGTTTTACTTCGCTCAAAGCTTCCAAGCGGAGTTACCCTGGGCTGAATGTCCGAAGAAATACTTGCCGAATAGATCATACATCACTGAGCCGGAATGTGCTGTAAGTATTGTAACTTTTACTTCTTAATACTCGTGTAAGCTGTTCATTAGCTTTCTTTCCACTGCACACTTTCAAGTTACGATCGTGGCGATTAGTTCATTTATTTCGTTCCATCCATTCCACATTCCAATCTTCCTGCAATCTGCTCGCGTTGTATCTATCTCTACTACGCAGATATGTATATATAAAGGTGTTTATAATAGTGCGGTTCGTTACGCAACCATGACACCCTTGGGGTTATGCTTTTGTGAAATATTATCGCCCACTGTTATAAAATAATTGCGCCATTCCATGTCAGTGGGTTCCGGTATTGGGCATGTAGGTTTGGTTTATCGATTGTCAAAGATTGATGATCTGTGAAGGATGAGAGATTCAGAGAGAGACGGAGTGGTTAATAATCTACGCAAAGAATAACATTACTAAAATGGATATTTGCCATTTATAAGGTTCAGAGTTTTATTAAAGTAATGGATTGGCCAAAAATTTGCCTTGTTTTCGCGACCCATCTTAAAAGATAACTTTTTCTTTTAAAATGTTATATTGTCTATGGTCTTTTTAAAAGTAATATTTTAGCGCACATTTTAATATTAGGTAAAAAGGTTTGTAATACTTGAAAAAAATTGTTTATAGAAATGTAGCGTCTTTTAAAACATTCCGCGTAATCTTAAGTATAGTATAAAAAAATCACCTCCTGTCTCTCTACATTGTTTTGTTGCGAGACAAAAGGTGATTCCACATCCATTAATGTCATAATGGGTAATCACCTTCTATTATAATAGTCTACATCCATTACGGTATATTAACGTTATGGATGTACCCACTTTATACGTTTTGTTTTCGATTACGCCATCGAGGGATTGTGGCGTAGCACTCCGACTAACGAGTAGTGGATCAGTGTGTCGTCTGTCTTTTAAATAACGACAAGATTACGTTATGACAATAGAAAACAAATTATTATAACGAATGAATAAGAGAGAGAAAAAAATCTAGTGGCTGTTCTTTGTATATTTACCATTTACAATATCTACACTGAAAAACATTGACTTTAACTAAGTTATCTTATTAAGATTCTTGAAGGAATCAGTCTCAATATGATCAAATCAGTACCTACTTAAAACTATGGCTGCAGTCATTGTGCTTCGCTAAGAACATGTTAGTGTCTTAGAGGCCTTTTTTTACATTCTTAAAGTAAATTATATTACATAAAGTAGATTTTGTAACATTTATAGCTATAAATTATTTTTTTATTGAATTGATACGGAATTATTTTTTGTGAAATTACACCACTAGTTTGTTGTGATTATCGAACACCAAAGTGTTCAAATTGGCCGCTGTTAGAAGCGCTGCAGCCGCTTCACTGTTGAAGGTTGCGCGGCCGCCTCGCGACTGTCGTGCTGCTGAAGTGTGACCAAATTTTTAGTGATGTTTTATCTTTCAACTCAGTTAGGCTCAAATCGAAATCAAATCGAAGCGTCGCGACGCGTCACGTTCTTCGCCTATAGCATATTCAACTCTATTTTCCCAACAAATTTGTGTTTTACAAATATGGAATGCTACACTTGGGCGCCGTGAGGCGTCAGACGCCGACCGCACTGTGATCCCGTCGCACTAATGCGAGCGTCGTCGCGTCGCCAGGCGGTGTAGTTGAAAAACAGGACGCGACGCGACGCTTCGACTTTGCGCCAGTGAGAGTTGAGCCTTACGCGATGGATTCTGGCGAAAAAGCATTAATTTTGCTTATTTTGTTAAAACTGAAGAAGAAAACGTTAAAAAGAATACCAGAACGTATTAGAATCCGTTCGTTACCTTTATTTTGTCAAAATAATCAAAATGAATAATACTACAAGGTTCGGCAACATGACGACAAAAAATTCGAAAATTACTTAGAATCATTGACTTACAAATAAATGGACATCGGGTCTAATACAAAAACCACGAAAAAAATGTCCCAAGTCAACCTATTCGAAATTTAAATTGTAATGTCATCGCAGTATCGCGCTGTCAGTAGAACAAATGAAGACTAAAGCGGAGTGTCGCGCTCTGTATACGATTTTAGCGCCTTACAAGTGCGGACACTTTTTAGCGCGGACCCGACGTCCATATAATTGTAAGTCAATGGTTAGAATGAATAGAATCATGTTTATGGAATTACTTCAACTCTTGGAAAGCCATATTCAACGACAACCAACCAGGGAACACTATTTTGCAGAAGAACGACTTATATTACGCTGAGGTGAGTAAAAAATTCGGAAACATTATTCCATATTGCAGGGTGTTGTTTTACATTCTCTTTAAATTCTTTAATTCGACTTTCATTCTTCGTGGTTAATTTGAAAAATGTACACCTCACTAACCGCGCGGTTGCAGCGCTTCTAGAAATTATATGAAAAGTGGCAGCCGCACGGCCGCGATAGAAACAAAAAGTTATATACTCAGTCCAAATTATGTGTACTTATAACGTTCACACGTCGAATCGATGTATGGTTATCTTAAACGTATTATAAAATATGGTTGTCCTGCTAGTGTTAATGAACTTGAATAATTATTCTCATTAAGGTTACTATATAACTGAGAGACCCAAAATAGACGTTTTGATGTATTTCGATTACACGGAGAATAGGCTTTTCAACATTCTTCTTTATCGTATCTATAGCATACATAATAATGCTTGCCGTCGTGGTGAAACAATTTTCCAAAAGGCGCAAGGTACTTGCATATTGTTGCCCAGGTTGCTACAGACGTACAGGAAAAAAGGAACGGTTACGTCGTGTGGGGAGGATGCACCCCTTTCGACATTAAAAAGTGCGAATTCTCTGCCTGAATCGATAAGACGCGCTAAGTCTGTTGAGTCTTTCAAAACTTTACTTGTAGCTAATTATTTTACACTCTAATTATTATTATTTTCTCCTATTCTTACCTGTTTTAGATCTCGTGTATTGTTAATATTACGTTTTATATAATCCTACTTTCATTTTGTGAAATCATGTATATTTATTTTTTATTTATTTTGATTTTTTTTTTCTTTTTTCTCACACATACACAATGTCCAATATGTGTTTTAAATACTTATTCTGTTGCACCCTCAATTGATTACTATCTCACAGTTTTTCCTGTAACCCGAAGGTTGCCTGCAAGAGATTGCTACATAGCCAAGACCGCCTGTTTTTTTATTTTTTGTATTAGGTATTTTATTTGTCCCAGTATGCAATAAAGAATATTTGTATTGTATTGTGTTGAGTTGATTTTTTAAAATAAATTAATAACGAAAATAGAAGATATCGGCAGTGAATTAAGGGGCTGGAAGCACGATTGGCTAAACTGCACTAAATAAGAAAATTCACACATAGTTCCGCAAAATTTTCATTTTAAGCTACGTTTTTCCACGGAAAAATCGGTTTCAATAGATTGTAATTAGAGATATTGTATTAGCATGTTCTCTTCCGTGGTTGGTAATAAATACGTCAATGGACCTATGACCTTATGTTATTATTTAAAGGAGTATATTTTACTTCTAAAAGGTAAACGTCTAAATATCGTGCAATGAATTACTTCGCCTCTAAAGTCCACGATACCAATTTTATTTTCATAACTAAGACGCCAGTGAAAGAATGTAAATTTATTCCAACTTATCTCTCACAGACACCAGTTTATAAATTGCCCTAACAAACCGCTTCAGCAAGGTAGAGATTCTATCAATATCGGCGTTATTTTCCAAAGCAGAGATTAGTTTACAATGCTGGTTCGTTCAAATTTCCCCGGAAACATCGTGTTACTGAATTCTATAACTGTTTCGTTTTTAACGTGTAAATTAAGTAGTTTTGAACTGTTATTACCTTTCGTATGGGTTATTCAATAACGTTCAGTTCAGGAATAACGTTCAATATTAACCGACTTCAAAAAAGGTGAGATTCTCTATTCGGCTGTATTTTTTGTGTGTGTAGGATACGCGATTATTCCGCCATAAATGAATCGATTTCGATGGTTATCTTCTTGTTGGAAAGGTGATACCTCATTAGTGGTCACATTCAAATTTGTAGAAAGTTTTCTAGGAAATGAAACCGGAATGAATTTTCCCGGATTTAAATCGCGTTCAAACAAACGTTTCAAACAAACCGTTCGAAGACCTCAAGAACAAACGTGCGCGCGCCCTAACTGCATTAACTTTTCTCAAAAAGTGCCGCGACAATAACATAGTTCCAGCATGCGTTAAAATAACTCCGCGAAGAGACATCTACGGTAGTGATCGCATACTCCGCCAGTCAACCGTGACCATGGGACCTGTAAAGGGTCCGAAACGTCGGTTTGTTTGAAAAAACAAATATACGCGATTTAAATCCGAAAAAATAGTTTCATTTCCTATGTGTAACAATCGCGAAAACTTAAGAACTCGAAAGTTTTCTACCTCTAAAGGTGACAAATTAGGGGGTGAATCCGGTTTATTGGATTTCGCCCACTTTTCTTTAACCGATTTTAATAAAACTTGGCAAATAGATGTAATTCCACAAACTTTTGAAATCGTTTTTTTTTTATAAAAAAGTTATTACATATAAAGTTTATTTACATAAGAAACTTGAATATTGAACATTGATAGCGATTTTAATATTTTTTTATAAAGCACATACAACATAGCTCAATGTCTGAACATTATCGAATAATCGCTAAGGTCATTAACTTTAGGTACAATTTTGCCGGCCTAACTTTCAAGATTATTTTTTTGTACAATAAGATAAGATTTTTTACACGAAAACGTATAGAATTCAATGTTTTGCAGTTAATGGCACCTGCTATTAATAACATAACTTGAGCGATTTACTTTCAAACAAGAGCCTAAACTACGCACCCCGAAAAACCTGCTGGCCCTTCAAACTTTATTGTAAGGGGAAGTAAGTGCCTTCCAGAGCCAAATTAAATTACTTCCAAAAGCAAGAGTCCTTTCAGGAAACGGCAATTTCCACGATTAATTTATTTCTCTCTGTAACTTTATGGTACCCTTAATTGTA